CAATATCACTGGTTTTGCATTTAAATCACCCAAAGGATCGTTGGGCCCTCCTAGGGAGGGTCCGGGGCCTTCCTAGCGAAGCCCCACCACATTTGTCAGATAGTGGGCCCTCATTGGGTCTCTGAGCAGTTAGGGAAACCATGGAACCCATACTTTTGCAGCCAGGGCCACGATCTTTGACGTTAAGCCTATCAAGCAGATATAGCCTAAGCAGAAATTTCCACCTTGCTTTTCAAGCGTGCTATCAAGTTCATAGGTATCCAACTCGCATGCAACATACACTTTACATGTGCCAAGTCCCACTTCGCTTCATTGACCTGGCCCCAATGTTTTAAATCCAAGTCTCTTACGCTCTGCGACAACGCAAGAAGCAAAATAGAGACGCAATCAGCTTGACAGCCTTGGACCGGAGGGCTACATGGTGCTACCCAGAAGGCTATATATATATATATATATATATAATGGCTATACCCAAATTGCAAGTTTAACATCCAAGAAGTGGCCGGAGCCATTGTGGATGTATTCATGGCAATTGAATACTGTTTGTATAGGCCAGAAGAATATCGACGCACCTTAACAACTATATAGGCTTGATTCATCACTGGATCTATAGAGTCGAATCGTTCAAGGAAAGCCATGATGCAGCTGGCTGTCGGATGATGGCTGTCGGATGGCTGTCAGATGTGCAGAACGCCCGTCCGCAAGCGAAGTCTGTCCATTGGCTGTGTGGCGGCATTATGGCCGTCGGATAGACGTCGGATGGTTGTCGGATAGCCATCGGATAGCCGCCCGCCGGATAGCCGGTCAGATAGCCGCCGGGATAGCCGTGGGATAGACGTCGGATAGCCGTCTGCTAGACGTCCATAAGAACTGGCCCTCACCTTCTAATAAGTGCCTTCGAAACACAGGCGCCAAGCTTGCCTCCAATACAACAAACGTGATGGGTGGTGCTGGCTCATTGGCTTATGCGCAAACAAACGTTAACTCGCGTGCTACTAAAAGCTCTTGCGCCAATTACTTGACGTATGTACAATGCAGGATGATAGAGGACAAGCGGAGTTTAAACACAATGCGGTATGGATTTGATATTCAGTCTGGCCTTTCAGTAATTCAGGGCGTCTCAGGGCCCAGCAGGGCCCGCGAAGGCCCGAGGGTCCGGGAAGCAAGTTGGGAGCGTCTGGGCAATTAAATTATATCCAACTAATACAGAATTGAATTGTTTTTAAAGTTTTGTTGGTATACATGACTTATTTATTCACGTGGTTGTAAATATGTTGCCATGTATAATCTCATCTGTTCATGTTTGGAATTTGCAGCTCAAGCGGCGGATGTCTTGGTGATGCAGGGCATCGTGGAGAGGCTCGGCCCAGGGCGGTAGGTCTTCACTGCCTTTCGCCCGGCGGAGTTGGCGCGGTTTCGCTTGGGATGTTCAACCAAGTTAGCTGGGGTAACTGGGGTAACTGAGAAAGGGCACTACTGGGGGACCTAGTAGTAAGTGGTTCACTTCTGCACTTTGGGTCACCTAATTACTTGGATGTTCAACCCGCTTGGTAGGTTCTAACCAAGTTCGCTGGGGCTGGGGTTGGCCCATCATGGTTATAACCTACCTGAGTGGATTGATGTGCGGCTTCCTTGCGTTTTTTCCCTGGTCTTCCGGGACCCCTTCACCCGAAAACACGGACAACACCCGGAGGAGATATGGCCGGTGGAACAGAACGATATCGTTGAATTCCTGGAATCGATTTGTCACAGCACCCTGTTTGTTGTATTCTGGTAGTTGGTTTTTAGGGGCCCCACCCTGTCCAAAGAAACTCGCAACTTGTCTAGGCTTTGTGGGCTTCGATTGTTTGAGCCATGCAAACGGAAAATTTAAGAGTGATGTTTAACTGGGCTGTCCAAACTGATCCCCTGCTAAAGTTGCTAACGTTTAGTGGGTTTAGTGGAAACTCGCACCACCTAATAAACCATGGAAACGTAAACACCAACAAACAATGGTTTCCCATGATCTCAAAGCGGTGCGAAACGGATTTCGTCCATCCACAGTACCACTAAACCAACTAAAGACCTGAACCGGATGGCTGGGAATCGCCAAGCGCCAAGGGTTTTGCCCATGCTCAACATTCGCATGGTCTGGAATTCCCGGCCTTGAAGACGGCCGCGGCGCCGCCGATGGGAATACGCTTGAAGACGGTGGTCATGGCCTGCACGGGCCAGGGCTCACTCCAAATGGTTGGCTAAACAGGTAAGCCTGGAAATCTCGGTTGCTTTCTGCTCCCCTTCTAAAAATATTATACTTCTAGTGGTTTAATGGAAAACCCATTAGTTGGCAAAACAACATCCTAACATCCAAGCAACATGCACCAAAGAAATGTCGCCCCAGATCTGTTCAAACCCCTGGTTGATGAAACATGTTGACCCCAGATTAAACCCCTGGTTGATCAATAGGGGAGACTCATCACTTTTGGAGCTAATGATAGGGACGGGGATTATTAATCCGGGGTCGACATTCTCCCCAGGACGCGGAACCTCCCGAAAACCGGAGTCCGGTTTTCGGATTCTCCAAAGCACTCCGGAGCCTATCTGAAGCCAAGCTGAAAGCAGCTGTCGGGAATCAAGCAGGTTGGGACTTTTTGTGCCCAACAAGTTTTTTTTTTTTTTTTTTAAAGCACTGGACACTGCTTGGTTGAAGTTGGAATGGGAGCATTTTTCTTTTTAGCTGTTAAGTTAAGTGGGGCTTTCAACCACTCAACCACAATAAGTAAAATGTTTCCCAACAACAATGAAGACTGAGGCGTAAAGGAAATGTTCTTTTGGCTGGGGCAAGCACAGATTGCCTTCGAATTCAATCACGGCGGTTTGGTCATTTGCCAGCCCCAAAAGGTTGCTGGTGCTCAGGACATGAGGGAATGTCCTCTATAAACAATTTCTTGTGCGTTCCTTTAAGGGAACCCCTAGGTTCATTCCCAACACCCTAGAAACCTAACAAACCTTTTGACCCTGGAGGTTTGGTCGACTTGCACTCCGAAAACGGGGTAAAACAAGTGCGGGGGTGGTTCCTCATGGAAAAAACGCACTTCCCATGCAGAAAATGCGGGTCAGGAACCTTCCAGTTCCTTTTGGCTGTCTAAACCCCTCCAGGAAACTCAGCTGCCCAGCATTTAATTCCATTTGCCACCATAGTAAGTAACCAAGGGAAATGCCCTTCAAAACCGTTGCCTACTAATAGTCTGTGGTCAACTGGGATTTATTGAAGGCAAGTGAGCGGTTGCCAAGTGCCCAGGCGCATGCGCCCTGCCTTGGGGCAGGTACCCGTGGGGATCTTTAGACGTAAGGGCTCCTACTAAACAAGATCCTCCAGTAGAGAGGTTAGAATCAGGGTACCCGATCTTTTTCCTGTCTAGTTTGGTAGGGGAACCCTCCCCCCAAAGGGGAGAGAAGGAGGTGGACGATTTAATCAAACCCTTACAGCTGCAACGTCGGGCTGGGTGGACGAATTACATCAAACCCCGATGACATGAAAAGCGCTTGTGTTTAGTGTAACATTGACATTGGGGGGTACGGGGGGGGGTGCGCCGCAACTGTTGGCGGTTTGATTAATTTGTCCATCTACTGTAGTAAAGGAACCACCACCATAAAATACTGCTTGAGACCGTGGATGGAGGAAGTCCGGGAGTCCGCTTCCCGCGCCACGAAATAGACCTTACTGGTTGAAACCATAGCATTTGCCGGCATTCGCAGGGGAATCATAGCATTCCGTTGGGTTTCTGAGTTTGGTGGTGCGAGACTCGCGGATTTGGCAACCATCCACAGAAGGTCTGTTTAGATCGAAGACCAACCTACCCCATTGGTTGCCAAAAGGTTAAAGTCCTAACATCCCTTGGCAACATGCACCAAAGGTTATACCACCCCCCCTTCGTTTTGATGATTGGAATGAAGGTATGAAGCTGCTGGCTTGCGTTGACTGCCCGATCCAGACTTCACGGTCAGACTTAGGCTCCTTGGAATCCAAAACCGATGTGGGGTAAGTTTGTCTCCTTTGCTCACATGGTAACCATACGGTGGATGGACGCATTGTTGTTAGCATTTAAAGTAGAATCGAAACATTCCAGGGTTTCTTAGGTGGCGCAGGATTTCGCAGGTCCACGGTAGGAAGTTTTGAACGGACTTCCGCAGTGGATTTTCAGTGTGTGCAATTCCTATGGGGTAGGCTCGCCCAGAAAGCAGGGACCCTACCACCCCAAGCCTTGTCAAGCTTAAACCTAAGCCTTAGCAAGGCCATATGTGGGCCATGGGGGACCCAGAAAACACCCTGCCCAAACCCTCAAAAAATGGGTCATTTACCCCCGAAAATTATGGTTGGCGAAATCCAACTTTCTTATGGGTACCTGGAGTCTCCATGACCCTTCAAACATGGGGTCATTACCCAAAATTAAGAAATGGGTCATCAGAAGGAGACTCCAGGTAGTTCTGAAACGGGTCCTGGTGGCTGTGGGCACCCATTTTAGACCCTGTTTTAGTGGGGATTGCCCTCTCACATGGAATCTGACAGGGAGTCCCTTCGAAAGGAACGTTTCACCAGGACCCGAGCCCTGCTCCAGCTGTTTCATCGTTCCCGAGTCCGACGGCTCCTGCCGGCCTCGAAGCGGTTGGCCGTGTGCGAAAGCGAGTCGTGCGAAAGCGCCGGCTGCGAGCCAAAAGGTACGGACCAAAGCGACGGCAAGAGGTGAACAGTTTCGTTCAGGTTGCGAAACCCAAATGAATTTTAATTCCAAAGGAACATACAAACAAAAGCTAGAGGGGCCGCTTGGGACCCTCTTGTCAACTCTTCAGCTTCTCTTGGTTGACGTTGGAAGGAGAGCAAAAACTTATTGTTTAGCAGTTCAGTGGGGATTTCTCCACTAAACCACAATAAGTTATAAGCCAAAACGTAAAATGTTTCCCAACAAACATGAAGTTCTGGGAGCATAGATGGACAAAGCCTTCTAATCCCCGGCCATCGCCTCGCCCTTGGCATTCTTCTCCTCTGCTCCCTTGAACCTCGGGGCACATTCTTTGTGCGACGAAAGGAATGGGCCGAGTAGGGTTTTTCCGGGTCTTCCGGTGGGAAAATCATCGAGTTGGCCGAGCAGGCCGGGGAAAGCCGGGTTTGTGTATCAGCGTCTTCTTAAGGTGAATTTTGATTTGATTCGCGCGCGAAAACTGCTTTTCGGAAAACCAGTTGGAGCCTGTGTAGCCCAGAGGGTTGCTCGGAGTGGAAGCGATCGGCCCAGATTGGTAGACATTTGTTCGGGAAACCAAAGAACACCATTTCCTAGGTGTCTTTTTGGGGAAGCCACACTTTTGGTTGGTCTTCAAGGGAAACCAAAACACGAACAACTATTTCCCCCCAAAAGGAGCCGACAGTTTTCGCCGTTCCCTTGCCGAAATGCAGCCTGGGCACTCACTAAGATGGCCCTGAACAACAAAAATCACTGCGCTGCTCCCAGGCCCCGCTAAACCTAAGGACCCGGGTGGAGACCAAGCCAAGTGATCTCTGGCTTAAGCTCTCTGGAAATTAGGTGAGCCCAGTTTGGTTCAGACCAGGCACCAACTCCCCTCCCGAATTGTCTTTCTTACATTCGAACGAACCCGAGGGGACCGATAAAACCCCCTAGCAGAAAAAGCTCTAGAAGAAAGCTTGTTTGGCGGAAGTTTGAAGGACTGCAAACCTTCATTTTATTGAGTTGCCTGAGAAAGACAAAAACGGATGTGGAAATACAGTAGTGACATAGATTCCCTTTAAAACATATGCTTACGCAAATTGATAAAAATCCAAGGCCTGGGATTCTACGCGACAAAGCTCTAAGCACCAGACTCTGCTCCTTTGTCCTGCCGCAGGTCAGCATCTTGCGCGTAAATGCATTTACCCCTGTTCCTTTCTTGGGCTTGCGTGATACGCCGTTGTCGTGCCCTACGTTGGGGTGATTCTGCAAAAACTCCTTGGGGTCCCCGTTGGCGCATCGGAACTTTCGTTTTGGGGCATGGAGGACCCAGGTTCCCGGTGCTCCTAGAATGGGGGTCTTGGGTCCCCACGAAGGCCCCGCGCCCGGGGCACACAAACAAATGCTGCAAATCATACCGATGGTGGCAAAATCAGATACACACCGTTCAGAAACCCAGAATGATATTGATTCTCCTGTAAACATGTTGTCAACAACATGTGGAAAGCCGTAAATTACCGTATGAGTTGGATGGCCATGTATTGTGGCCCAAGCCGTATGGACAGAAACAAAACTGCACATATGGGTTTCCAGGTATGTGATCAACAGCCATGAACCACAAAGCAGAGTTGCAGCCAGCACCAAATCAAGCGCACAAAGTCCGTCGACACGTCCATGTCTTGATGCATGATGTATTGCCATATGTACGCCCAGTATATCACTACTCAGGCCAGGCCAGACAAAAAAGCGCGTCCTGAGCAGAAGTGATGGCAACAGCAGTCTTCGGGTTTGGGGGCACCTGCTCAACTACCTTGACGTCGTCCAACATTCATCCGGTCGTGCCGCTGCACGATCCGCGGGTTGCCGGCCAATGTGAATCAGATCTAAAGACCTAATTCATCAATCACTATCAAGTCATCGCTGAAATCCATGTATCCATTATCACTATGGTAGGAAACCAAGGCAGTTCTTTTCCTGGAGGTTTTACATGGTGATTTCCCCGAAATACTTGCTGTAGAGGTAAGCCGAGGCACCGTGCAAGATGTGCAACTACATTCGCTCCATGTACCAACCTGGAGAAAGACATTGGGACCATTTGCTCATTTGCAGAGCTTCACACATGGCATAACAGTCTATAACAAGATGGACTGCTCATGTGCATAGTTTTACACATGACACATGGCATGGCACTCTTTAACATGATGTTGATTGGCTTTGGGCAACCGAGCCGACCGATCCCACACATTGCAATCAGACATCTTGGATTGTGCCGGGGCTGCGGGGGTTGGGAGGCCTCTGAAACATACAAACGTTCGGGTGCCCCGAAAAGTCGAACTTGCCCCACGAAAGGAGCACACTTATTTGAGTCTTCGACCAACTTAGTAAGCTACACCCATTAATACAACTGAGGCAACTGGGGTTGGTCCCCTTACCAAGGAGTGAACAAGCCACTTCCCCCCCTTTTAAAGCTCAAATTTTAGTAGCTTGAATAGAAAGGTCAAGGACGCGGCCAAGTTTCGTTACTTGATTCATTGATCCTCCGACTCGCCGAGTCGACAAGCTGACGAGCTGACGAGCCGACAGCTCCTCCTCATCCACTTCCTCCACGCCCTCCTTCCGGTACTGCAAGTTGAAGCGGATGGGTCCATTGAAGTCCAGCTGGATCCTCGGCCGAGGATCCGACGACGGACAGAGGTTTAAGAGTCCGAGGGTTCATAGGGCCTGTAGAATCTTGGTTGACGTTGGGTTAGGGGAGCAAACATTCTCATGTTGTTGTTTTTTTAGCAGGCAAGTGGTTGGATTTCAACCACTAAACCACAAGAAGCAAACATGTGAAAAATGCTTCCCAGCAACCATGAAGGAATTCAAATAGGGTACGAACGGACCCCACGGACCCACGGACAGTGCTGGGTACGTTTAAGCCGTAAGGGACACCCTTAGTGAGAAAAAGGGGCGGTTCAGCCTGGCAACGCGATGGCATCTTTTCCCACGGGTGAAAGGCCCGTGAACCTCTTTTTGAACCGAAACATACCCAAAAGGATATGTCTCGAAAACTACGACCAGGACCATTAAACTAGCTATAGCAAAGGGAGTTCACCGACCATAGTTTTCTAGCTCCTCGAGTAGAGAGGATAGAATAAGGGTGCCCTTTTTCTGTAGTCTATTTTATTTGGGGAACCCTCCCCCCCAAAAAGGGGTGAAGAAGGGCACTACTCAGACCTAGGTTTGGCTTGCAACAAACATGTTACAAGGAATTTTGAGGGTTCAGGAACTTGGATGCCCCGTAAAAGCGGGGACAATCTCCCTGCTTTGTTGTAGAGCCTATCAGGTTATAGGATGTTATAGGATACATTCTGCACGGGGACTTAACTGGGAAAAATCACCGCTTACCTGAGCTGTCCTCAGATCCCCCGCTAAAAGTTCAACTTTTAGTGGGCTGAATGGAAAACCCCACTAAACACTAAAAGCGAAAAAAACGAAGATGGCTGGGAGTCACCAGTGATGTGGTCCAAGAAGAATTAGAACCTTCATGAGCTCAGCTCATTCCCCCCCCCCCACCCGACCCCAGCCTTGAGCTCCTGAAACTTTGTTCTTGTGAACATGAATGTTCCTGAACCCTCAAACCCAGAAAACAGATGCGATTCACAAATTCCATAATTTTGGGCTGCAAGAACCCTTTTTTGAGTTGGACTTGTTTAGCGTTCATGTTGAGCTCTGTGCCAAAGGAATGAGTACTCAGGCAACCGATTGCTAAGCTTAGATCCAGTGCTCACTAGATTCAGCTTGTCATGGTTTGCCTCTTGCATATTGAAAGTGAAGACATGTGTCCAAAGAAGGTGTCCTACAGATTCCTACACTGGGCGGTCCAATATGATGTTCAACCATAAGTGCCAAGCGTCTTCAGGTCCTCTTTGCTTGGCATTGTGTCGGCTGTCTCTTGACTACCCGAGGCTGTCCCGTCTTCGAAGGGCTTCTTGGTAGGTTTCTGCTGGCGCAGTCTGTTCAACAATTGAACTATAGGTCCTCCAGTAGAGAGGTTAGAATAAGGGTACCAACTTTTTCTGTAGTCTATTTTAGGGGAACCCTCCCAACCAAAGGGGAGAGAAGGGCACCAATTGCTGGGGGTCTAGTTAATCAAGGAAAGAACCCCAAGGAGAGAAAGCCAAAGCCGACGAAAACCGAAGTATTCCAGCGAGGCACGTGCCGCACTGATGCTTTCGCTTCATCGCATCCTGAAGCCTGCGATGCGCAATCGTCTCTAGGCAAACGCTCGTTCCCTAACCCTCCACTTGCTTAAGTCCCCCGAACAATTTATTGTCAGTGGTGATAGGTCCCCTTTAACACCGGCATGGGTAACTCAAGACAGTCTTAAGCAAATGGAAGTATCTGGGAAAAACTGGAATCCCTATGGAAAGGACCTGCATGGGTGAGCTCGTTCCTCCTCCCATTCAAGTGGCGGGTGAGCTCGTCGTGACCTAGATTGAGTCATATGGGCAACGTAGTGCTAAGAATTCGGGGAGCATGTTCGACAGGCATGACCGAAAAGCCCGTTGAACCTTCAACTTCCCATTTAGAACGCATTTCTACTGCTTCCTCTATGGTCGCCATGGCAAACAATCCAGTTCAATTCCATGCGGACCAACTTCATGGCAAACCATGTCACAATTCAAAGTGCTCTCCCTCTGTTTTAAACCTTAAATTCAATTGGGCAGCATGCGCACATCAGGTTTCTGCCCCAAACCCAACCAAGTCGTCACTTGAGGATTTGCCCGTTTCGAATCCATTCTGACATTTGGCGCTGTTGAATAGCTCAAGGGAATCTGGTCCGAAACAGGCAAGGGGGACCCTCTCAACAGTCTTTATGGCCTTAGCCCCCAGGTTCAACCTGACGACCACCTGGGCCGTTAGAGCGGTTACATGCAGCTAAGCCAAGTAGTTTCCCATGGTAACCATGGGAACTGGGGGAAACCGTCACCTCCGTTGGACAAGTTCAACTCAAACTAAGTTGGCCCCCTTGCAAGTCATATTCACCTTGGATTGGAGAACCATCAGAGCTGGATCCTAGATCTCTTTTGGTCGGGAAGTCACACATTGCAAACAAAACAAAAAAAACATTAGCTGGAAAAACAAAAAAACAAACACAAACACAAAAAACAAATAAACCAAAAAAAACAAACACTTCACTGGTATGGCCTTCTGATTCCATGAGCATGAGCTATCCCAGGCCACGAAGTTCTGCACATGGAGCTATGCCAAGCGAGGCGTAACTTGAGACCAAAGGTGATGCCCTCACCCCTCGTCCCGGACAAACAAGTTGGCTGCATTTTTAGGACATCCTTTGGATGTACGAAATCCTGAACCTAAGAAACCCTAGAATATCCTAGAATGATGATCCCCCTGAAAATACCAACAAACGTTATGGATTCGAAATGGTGCAGGAGTTCGTCCATCCTCAGGGCCATGCACGTGCTCTTCCCGGTAGCTTGGGTCCCACCATGCCCTCCCACCAAGAGTAGACTGGAAAAAATCAGGCAGATCCAACCAATAGGTACAGCTGACACATGGAGATTCCCCCAAAACATGGGTAGGCCACAATTGGGAGTCCATGTGCTTATTGTTTGTTACGCACCATACCCAACATTCTTGGTGTGACTCATAGCTCTTTGCCGGCTCCAGCCGGCAAAGGGCACACCAGGCATTCCCGCATGCCTGATGTCGATCTTGGGGCCTGGGTGGCAGGCGACGCAAGAAGCCCAACAGGGATCAGCGAATACACCTCAACATTGCAACTTGTTTTCTGGTGGTTTCCAACTTTGTTTTGGTGTTGAAACAGCAACATGTTTCAAATGGTTGCAACATGGAGATCTTTTAAGGAGCCCTGTTGTTTTGGACGGGCCTTTGATACTGTAGATGGACGCCATCCTGCACCACTTTGAAACCATGAGAAACCGGAACGTTTGCTGGTATTTACAGTCGAATCATCATTCCAGGGTTTCTTGGGTGGTGCAGGATTTCGTCCATCCACAGTAGGAAAGTCAATCTCCGGGAGCTGGACCTTTAAGGGGTGCATCAGTCTTTTGGGACTTAATGTGTCATTGGTTCTAAAGGCAAACCACCAGAAAACCATTTTCAGGGGCCCGGTTTCAAAAGTCCACATTTTGCAGCTCGCACAGTATTCCCCTCGTGTGGAAAACCACTCGCCTCCAATTTATGGTAGCGCACCCCAGGGTGGTGCATCGCTGTCGTGGTTGCAAACCCCACCGGAGCTCACTTTGTGGTCTTCTTTTTGTCTCTGCCTGGTTTCTAACGAGCATCAGAATCAGCAACCTCTAAATCTCCACCGGCCTTTTTGCGGGGTATGACAGGTCAACCGCTGATGGATTCCTTGTTTAAACCTTAGATGTGTCCAACGTCAAAAAAACAGTAGGTATTTGAGTCGCAAGACTTGCTTTTGCCATTTGCTGTAAACAGACACGAACCAATCAAAACAAGAACAAATAGTCTTTGGATTGGAAGACCTGCTGGTAAACGAAACAACAAAGAGGTTAGTTTGGGGTTGAAGACTTGGCTCTTCGAACCCGAGAATCACCCGCCAAAGCCTTGTTTTGTGATTTTTTTTGGGGGGGAAGCTGGCTGCCCATTGAGCCCCGTGGCCGTAGAATGCTCCGTCTCCAGGGTTCAGCGACCACTCTCTTCCCGACTCGTCCAGCGCGGCCTCAAGCCGAGGATAATTTTTCACTGCAGACTCCCAACGCTTTCCAACGCTTTCCTCACTTCCGTTCGAGTGGATGGCTCAAAACAAGTCCTTAAACTTTTTGGCTAAAATGGTCCAAACCCAGAAAGCCTGAGGTCCGAAACAGTACTCGGAGATGCTTTCAGGCGGTGATTCGGGTGCTTCAAAGGGTTAAGAGACCTTACCCTATAGATAGGTTCCAAAAAGCATATTTCAGGTCTTTGGGGATAGGCCTGAAGGTACGAAGAAACCCTATAGGGATACATGGAGCCAAGACCGGGTCAAGTTACCGGTATGGTTTCCCTTGGTTGCCCATGGGGCACAACCCAAAACATTGAGTTGAGGACTCTTTGAGGTTTCCGCAGATGGGTCCATTGAAGTGACATCAAACTTACGCTCGCATGAGCTAAAAAGTTGAGTGCGCTCAAACCATATGAAACATTACTTCATTCAAACCATATGTTCATGAAAACAAATCAAACATCTGCAGTTGGTTTTCTTGAGGGAAGTACTCCGACCAAATATGAGCTAGGTAGCGCACACTTGATGGGCATCTCTGACCGAAACGGGCAAAACATGTTTCTCCTCATCGCTGGGATTCCCTTGGTATCACATTCAGGCTAGGGGTGTGTCTTTTCTGAGTGGACCCCCCCGGTCAAAACGGAGGTTTTCCCTTTTGGCTACCCTTTAAAACACACAGCCCGGGGTACCAACACAAATACACACCCATGTGGCAACTTAAAACCTAGCCTCGCACCATGGAAGTGACGCAACCACAGCAGGGGCAACTGACCCTCCATAAATCCAGGAACCCTCCAAGCGAAAAAATCTTCAATGTTCAAGGGCCAAACGGGAAAATCCGTGAATATGTCTTGCCATACCTTTAAAAATAGAAAACTTGTTTTAGCTTGGAGAAATACTGTGGATCCTGCACCACTTTGAAACCATGGGCAACCATCTTTTGTTGGTATGTACAGGGGAATCATCATTCCGTTGGGTTTCTTAGGTGGTGCAAAATGGATTTCGTCCATCCACAGTATCACCCATTTTTTGTCTGGTTCTTTTTTTGAGGCCGCCGATGAAATCGATCCATCCGGTCCCTTCGTCCCTCCTGACTTCGATTCCGACGTTTTGGCCTTGAGCTGCGACTCCGCGTTGTCCCAGATCTCCTGGGATCGAGCTCCAGCTTCCACCCAGCTACTCCGGGGGCTTGAGCCAGTTTTTCCCAATTGGACACTCAAACCCAGGAAAATGTGTTTTTGTTGGTGGCTGAAGCCATTTAATCACCCAATTTTCAGCCGCAGTTCCTACCTGGAGTGTCCATGACCCTTTCAAAATGGGTCCATGACCCTTTTATTTGGGTAATGACTCCTTTTTCTAAGGGTCATGGAGAATCCAGGTGCCCATAAAAAAAGGGGACATTCACCAACTTCCGTAATTTTGGGGTGCAATCACACATTTTTCAGTTGGAATTTTGAGGGTCCACCCAAAAAAGGCGTGGGGCACCCAGTAACCCTGGCATCAAGGGACCCCCCTCCAAACCCCAGGACCAACCCCTAAAAAAAACGTACGAAACTCCAGGCAAGCATGGGATGCATGTTTCAAATTTCGAGCTTAGCAAAGCAGACGTTTTTTGGGAGATGAGGGCAACCCTGCCAAAACCAACAGAAAGAACCAGGGTTCTTCGGTTGCCCCCCCCGCAAAACAAATGTGGCACCACTGGGTAAATATTTGAATATGACCTTGTGGTATCCTATAGTGGAGACTGGAAGCACTGGGGCCCGTTTTGCAACCTTCTTTCTGTGAGTCGACGAGACACAGGGCTTCAAGAGGTTGATTCCCCATGTTCAACCGTCAGTCTCTTCAAGACCAGCCTTCTCCCCAGAGTTTCTACATCGTCCCGAAAGACCTATCCATAAATAAAGGGAATTCACCCCATAAGTTTTGGATGCAACAACCCGTATTTAAGTCGGAATTTCTTTCGGGTCCAGGTACTGGATTGCTGGAGAGAAAACAGTCCTAGCAAGAGTGGGGAAGTTACCCTGGAGAAACATGTGCTCGCGGCCCCCACTTGAAACGCAAAGTGCTGACTGCTCCAAAGCAGAGACCCAAATACACTTGAATTGGACCAAGTGGAGGCGTCAGTCGATGCTCCAGCTGTCTTCTCCCAGATCTTTGCTTTTCTGCAAGCTGCAAAAAGGCAAACCTTGCAAGCAAACATGTCCACAAGGTTCAAAACACCCATTTGTCCACCAGTTCCAGTCCCTCCTTTCCCAGGAGGTTTTCAGGTTGGAAACCCATTTGTTCGCTTTGTCTCAGAACCGCATTTCCAGTGCGCGAAACCAATAGGAGCCGACTGTTGGCCTGAGGTCCCTGAGACTAGACCCAAGTCTGATTGGAGATTTGATTCACTTCCCAAGTTGACTGGCCAAAAAAGGTTTGAACTTTTTATTTACCACTAAAATTGTCTTTCCAAAAAGTTTAAAGTCCACCAACTCAGGAAGTGATTCCAACAGAAACCTGTTCAATTGCAACAGCTTCAACCTGAAAACTGGGCAAGACTGGGAGTGCTGGCTGGAAGGAAACGTAGAGAAACACCAACAAGGCGAACATTATGCCAAGCCTTTTATCCGGCAATGAAACGGGGCGCCTGAGCCCTGTGCCAGTTAAATATTACCTGGACCCTCACAATTAGTAAAAATGGGTTGTTGCCTCAAAATTATGGGGTGCATAGTTTAAGGGGGCAGGTATGTATTTGGGAAAAGCAACCCAACCGCCATTTGTTGAAGAAACCCCCAACCCGGCATTTGGTGGCACAGGCGAACAGTTCGTAGAATTCCCGGTTGGCATACAAGTTTACAGTAGGATGCACGAAACCAGGAAACTAAAGCAGCAGTTTAAAATACATGCTAGTTTGAGGATCGAGCTGTAAGTAAAAGAATCTTGAGAAAGCAGACTGTAGCACTTGAACAAGTACAAGCACTCTCTTGTCTCCTTTCATGGAACCTGACTGAAGGGTGCTGGAAGACTATTGTCCTGTGGCCAGGGCCTAGGGGGGTATCTATCGAAACTCACATTTGGGTGTGCCTATTGGTCGGTTGCCAGGGGAAACCAAAAGGAATAGCACATTTCTTTAGCTAAACAAGTATTCACATTTGGCTGCGTGTTTTTTGAGGGTACCTCTTTTTTGGTCTCAAAAAAACACCAAAAGGACCACCACCATTCTTGGGGGGGATCCTCAAAAAATGACGAGCCACCCATTTTTTTGTTGAGGGTACCTCTTTTTTGGTTTCAAAGGGACACCCCAAAAGGACCACCACCACCCTGGGAAAGCCAATCGCCGACTGAGTCCTTGGATCCCAAAGCCTTCTTCGGCCTCGTAGACAGGGCGTAGCTCGCCTGCGAAGGATGGGCCTGCGCCCTCCTTTCGGGTACCAAGACCCTCAAACTGTACAAAAGGGAATTCAGCAACCACGATTTTGGGGTCAGGTTCAAGGGCATTTTGAGGGAGGTCGTTGTAACGAGCTGCTGTAGTCGTTTTTTTTGGTGGGAGGGGGGAGTTGAAAGGGACACCAGCAGGAAGTCACTCGTTTTGGACCATGAGACCACCCCGTGGTGCTGGGCAACCCGCCAACGAGCGAACCGCCCTCCGAGCAGCTGGCCGAGGGCTGCCAATCAAAAACGGGGCTGGCTCCTCAGAGGGTGAATGAGCGTCTGGATTGAAGACACAGCTGGAAAAGAAGCTTTATCTGTGAGGTTTGACCTTCTGGGGGGGGAAGTTATTGCTCGGACGTTGGCATTCACATGGTTGTCAACATGTATCAACATGTTATAGCATTGATTGGTGGTTGTTTAACATCGACTTTTGGCTCTAACATGCTTCGTGGTCTTTGGTGCTACCGACGTCGACATGGTTGAGGTTCCCATTCGGGTCATGCCTTGAACCCGAAGATCTTGTAGACAAAGTCCAGGAAGTTCAGAGCAGCTGACACGAGCGCGTGAATCGATTCGCGATTCATCTCAGGGCTTACCTTCTGGCCCATGTGTTGTTTTTTTTCCGCAAATTTGAGGGATCCCCGCTAGAATCCCCCGGCGAACCCCCTGCAAAGAGAGGGGCCCCCTTTTATACACAACGGCACGTTGTGGAGGCCTGCAAGTACGCTGTGAGTATTCGACTTGGCCTCGAAGGACGTACTCTTTGCTTTCAGAGCAGACACTCAAAGATTGATATGGACACTACGAAGCCTGAAATGGGGATGGATCTTCTTTTCAATGATCTCATGGCGAGCTCAGCGACAGTCCTTTGCTTGGGGATCCAAGTGGTATTTCAAAATTGAAGCATATTTGACATCGAACATGACCCAAACCTTGGGCGAAACTAAGCCGGGGCTTCGCAACGCACCCAGGCTGAGGTTAACGTCAGGGGACAACTGGGATAAAACTCTGCCACCACTAACCGACCTGTCTCTCCCAACCTCCAGTCCCCTCAACATCAGGGTAGACACTTGGAATCCAGTAAACGAAAACTCAAAAAAAAACAATGAAACCAGGGGAAACCAAACCAAGTCGTCTTCCTTTGGGGGTGAACGTTTCAAGGTGAAATAATATAAAAGGCTTGCTTGGCGTCTCCTTCTGACCCTTGAGTCACATGGGGGCACCCACACATGACATGTTAAAAGGGTTATGGAGACTCCAGGTTCCTTCAGGACTACCTGGAGTCTCCATGACCCTTAAAGGGGCTATCCAAAACATAGACCCATTTTTTTGGGCTCAGAAGGAGACTCCAGGTATTTTTGGAAGAGTCGTACTGAAAGATTTCTGACCCAAGTCGCCCCAGAGACTTGGGCAACCGAAAAACAAGCCATGCCCCGAAACCTCTATACCTGGAGTCTCCTTCTGACACGAAATGAACATGGGGTTACTCAAACAAAGTAATCATGACCCCACGTTTGAAGGGTTAGAAGGAGGCTCCACGTAGTTGTTAAAATGCACCCTTGAGTGGGCTGATTAAACCCTCGAAGTTCCCTTAAAAACGGTATGTTGCCACAACCTCATGGTGCTTGGTTTTGATTTGGGAAACAACTGGGTCAAGGACGTAAGGAAACGCAACAGGGCAAGCAAAAAGGAGGAACAAAGGAAACCAAGGGTTTTCACATGTTCCCTCCGGTTGCAAATCCCCGAGAGTCCAAGTACCTAAGGCACCGTGACCCTACCAAATTCCTGCCCACAAACAGCGAGACAGGTCCGCACATGCCGCCACTGGAGGTCGGGGGGATTAGGAAAGTCATTTCTTCGGGGGAAGCTTCCATGGAATGTGTGTGTGTGTGTTTCTTTTGCGGTCTGTCCTGGTCACAAAAGAAAAAAAGAAGCACTGAATCAGCAGAGGTGGAAAACTGGAAGCGATTGCATGTGTCCAGGCAAAACAAATACCAAACCATAGTGTGTGACCCAGCAACTTCCAGCCACAATCGTAACCAGCCGTCGTTGTTTATCCCCCAGCGGCTCAAGTGGTGTAACCCAGGCAAACAGAAAAGCCGTGTGGTGGAGCACCGATCTCTGCAATGGCCACACGTGGCCTCCCTAAACAACTTGCTGTTGAGGGACGAAATCCTGCACCGACATGCTGATTGCCTGTAAAGACTTAGTAGCAATATGGTTTCCCCTGGTTTCATTTCGTGGTGCGAAATGGATTTTGTCCATCCACAGCATTAGCTGGGGATATTAATTTAATTACCCAAAGTTGGGCAATCATCCAAGCAGAGCAAACAGACTTTATCCCGTTCAGATCGCCTGAGACCTCCGACTTGATCTGGTCAGGGCGGCAGAAGATGTGTCCATCCTCAGCTCGCTCCCCTTCGACCGAATCGAACGGCACAAAAAATCGCTGGTAGAGGAAAACCCGAGAAACACCAAACCCGACTGCCAAATGTAAGGGCCTACATAATCATAGAATGGGGTTGTGGGGTACTTGTTAACCAGACTTAGTCAGGCATGACTGTAGGAGTAAACTGTTAGTTATCATTCAGCCCTTCCATCACCCTTGTGATTTGGTTAGCGCCCAATCTGGGCGCCGATGGCCATGGAGGATCCTGGCGGCCCCGGTAAATCGTGCCCCAAGCGGCATCACCTTCGTTTGGGTTTGCATTGGTTTAGATCCGGGCCCATCTCCAGAACTAGCACCCTAAGCCCAGTTCCAATCCAAACCAGCTAAGGGTTACCCGATCGCCAATACTCCAATGTCGAAGTTCGGACACGTCAGACGAAACGCAACTCGACTGGTCCCACTGACAACTGGGTCCACCGAGTTTGCTTGGTGAATAGGCAGGTACCGCCCCAATTAAGACAAGCTCAGTCATGGCAAGGCCAAGTCCATGAAGATACTTGGTCAACCTCAAGCCAAACGACAACACGAGGCATAGGCTATGCACCAATAGCCATGGGCAAACATGCCAGGGATGGTCATGCCATGAGGCTGGGGCCTTCTCAACTCTTCAAACCACCGTTGACTGTTAGCTGGGCTGTCTTCAGATCCCCTGCTAAAAAAAGAAACTTTTGTGGGTTTAACGGAACCCCCTACTAAACATTAAGAAAAGCTGCTAAGGGGACGGCTGGGAACTGCCAAGTTCGTTGATTAAACAATCCTTTTGTCTTCCCTTTAGCCGGTCTTCTTGGGCTTGACACATAGTTTCACTCACTCTGTCCGTGAGCCAACCTCCATGTTCCCATGGTTGTGAGCCAGAATGATCTAAACCAGTGGAACCCATGTATGTCTCACCAAACTAAAACCTAAGAACACTTCTGGGCCGATTCGGCTCCGGTTCCGCGGCTCTTCTGGGGTTGCCCTCTTTGGGAAAGGGGGGGGGCCTGACAACCTTGCGAGGGTTTGCGTGCCGGAACTTTGATGGTCCTCAGGGGTCTGTAGGGTCTGTAAGCTTTGGGCTCACATGACATACATAGATTTACACATGCAACACAAGTCGCTCGCACAAGCCAGCCAAAGACAGGTAGAACCACCTGCCCAAACAGGCTGCCTATGTTTCACTTTGAACATCACCCTAAGGAAGCTCCGATGAATTGGTCCAGAAGGCAATGGTTGGAACCACCAAAAGGCGGAACCAATGGGCGATGCTCAGTTGCATCCTGACCGGACCTTTCGCCCCACTCCGTGTTCCGCACTCCCCCACTTGCATGACCACCCCATTGGGCAGGTGCTTAATATGCCTGCACCGGCTACAAGTTCCCTGAGCAAGTTGTGCGTAGGGTAAACCAGTTAGGGGGAAACCACTAAAATTATGAACCTGGGCGGCGCACATTTCGCAACAACTTACAATTTGTTGTGGGCGACCAAAAAAAAGGAAACGCCATTCTCCAACAAATGGAAGCTATAGGGTCTGTCCAGATAGGCTCTGGAGTGGTTTGAGGCAGATTTCAGGGAGGATTCCGGAGGGTTCCAGACATTTCCGGGGCTGTTGGGGATCTCACCCGGGCCTATTTCAACTTAAAAGATGCTAAATTGTAAACTAGGCTGTCCGGAAATCCCCTGCTCAAAGTTTAACTTGCGGGTTAGATGGGAAATCCAGCCACAAAATCAACAAAAAACAACTAAACACATTTCTGGAACCGGATGGCTGGGAACCACTTTTAACCAACAATGTTTGCTTTTGGTTTTTGAAGTGTACCTATTGTGAAGGTAAATGGAATGAGCTGGGAAAAACAGAATGGGAACATCTAAAGATTCGACCAAACATCCACCCGGGCCCCCGACATCTTGCTGGAAGCGCCTCACCCGCACCAGGCCCGCCAGCGCACCGCTGGCCTCAAACCGACTTTTTGTTCTTCGGCTGTACGCGCGCTTCAGGGTCCCTATGGGGCCCTACCCAGGGATGAATGTCTTTTGCCGGAGGGCCCTATCCAGGGATTTCTATGTCTTGGCGGCAACTGGAAGCACTCAGATCTGTTCCGTCTGCCCCATGCGGCGGCCTTATCTTGGTTGACGTTGGAAGGGGAGCAACATGCTTTTTCTTTAGCAGTCAAGTGGGGATTTCAACCCCTAAACCACAATAAGCAAGAATGTTACATGTTTCCCATTCACCTTGGTTGCTGTAACGACCCCCCTGCAAAAAGCTTTTAGCTTTTGAGGGTTTAGCGGAAAACACTTTTTTCCCCAAAAAGTTAAAGTCTAAAGATCCAAACCAATAGCTGTCAAGCAACACCCATGTTACGTTCCGTTTGCAACCGTTGTGGCGGCCTGCTGTGGCACCTCCTTTCGCCTTTGTCGTGCCACCGAGGCCTCGTTCCGGTGCAGGACCCCGAAGTCGGCATATCTCAGCGGCAGCTCCTGGGACGAACAACCGCTTCGAGACGCTTCTGGTGGAATTGGCTGAAAAAAAAGAGGACCTGGAACCCCCAAGGGCCTCAAATGAGGTCTTGGGCTCAAACTGAGCCTGCCGGGACCCTCAAACTACCCAGAAAAGAAGGATTTTACCCCATATCTTTGAGCAATGACCCATTCTTAAGGAATTTTGAGAAGATGGTCTTGGGCTCCTAGGGTGAAACCAACGAACAAGGAAATGATGGAAAAGAGTTTTAAGGGTGTTCAGGGTGTTCAGCAAATGATGACGAGCAAACTGCAACAAGAAACAGTCTGGGCTTCACAGCGAAATGTCGAGTGGATTGGGCAACACAAAGCAAGAACATGTTTCTACCACTAAAATGCTCCAACTGACTGAAGGCCAGGAACCCAAAGAGCGAGGTGCATTGATTGGATTGTCATGGTGAACCCCGAAAAGAAGTTCAGAGCACTTGTCAAATAGCCAAGGGGATTGTGATCAGGTAAGCGGGTCGTTTGAGGGCAAACCCGATTCTTTTTGATCAACCTTTGCCCCCCCCCTTCAGGCCCAACCAGTGGCTTGGCGTGTCGGAGTTGCAAGTATTGGACCCCCCTTGTCTTCAAATCGCACTTTTGGACGCCCTAAAAGTAAAAACCGGTTTGACTATCGTTTGATCTACCTGCTATGCCACATCCTGCTGTTCAGAAACCATTTGGTCCGTGGGGTAAGGCAAGACAAAATACCTTGGGCGGCCGACATATCGAAACGCAGGCCGCGCCAATTCAACCGGCAGAACTTGGTGTGGGAGCTTATGAAATCCCATCCGGGGGATAGGTACCTTGTTACAAAGGGGCGGCAAGTTGAGACCTTTCGGGTTCATAAGGGTTCCTTAGGCGGAGCTTGAAAACGGGTTGAGTTCGGGAGTTCTTGGAGTCCTAAGGGGGGGGTCCCTAAGACTGCCCCTCCGCTGTGCCTTGTAGCTCCGCACCCGATTGTCGAACATCAGGAAGTGGCCCGGGCAGTTCATAGGCTTCAACATCCACCTAAGCTCAAAGACCCACGGCCGTGGGTCCAGCCCTGAGCTCCTGCATGCTCTAAAAGCCCTGGACCCGAAAGAACTACCCATATAAAAAAGAGGAATGTCGCCAACCATGACGTTTGAGGCAAAAAAACAGGCATTTTGAGGGTCCAAGTATGTCTATGTGTATGTCAGTGGACCAGACATGGAATGGTACGTTGCCTAATCTGCCTGGATCCTCTAACCATCAAAAAGGGACTTCATCAGCGCTTCTCCAAACCGGGTGCCAAATCCATTTTGAGAAATACCCAACTTTGTTCTCCCCACAAGGGACCTTCATGGGTTAAATCGATCGCTTTGAGGGTAAGCTCCGAGTCAAAAACTTCGATTGCCCTGTGCGGGGATGGTTCCGTTTACCTGAAGCCATTTGCGTGTGTGCATTTGTGTAGACCCCCGAAATGGTGGTTGTCCTTTTGGTGTCCCTCGAAACACCAGAAAAAGGGAGTACCAAATCCAAGAAAGCCATATGAACCCTCAAACCCACAAGACTGCGAAGTCACCATATGTTTGTAGGCCAGCCATGGAGGGCGACTAATTGAAACCCTTTCTCGGGGTACTTGCTTGTTTGGGAGAACTTTCTCCAGGACAAAAGCAACGGACAACAAAGTGCTCCACGTCCAAATGTCTGGGAAATGCTCTTTGCCCAGATACGGCAAGTTGGCCATATGTTCCCCATCTTACTCCGAATGTGTAGGCCAGGTTCAAGGTTTCCAAGTCAGCTCCCACTGTGAGAAGTGCCGCCGTGAGGAAAGGACTCGATCCAGACCAACCGGGACCGCAAAGTATGACCCTGTCGGGCAGCAGTTGAATGGTCTAAGCTGAAAAAGCTTCCACTCGGGCAGCTCTGAGATCCCAGCTCCTGCTTCTCGATTTCCAAGCTGTACATGTCGTCCTGGCAAAAGACTTGAGTCACTTGAGGGCTTAGCACTGTTCGAATGTTGTCGGGGAAACAAGGCAGCCCTGTAGACTTTATAGGGAAACAGTCAGACCCCATTTCTTGACCCAACTCTGGCGTACACCCAACAACATGCGTTCCTGTTCTCATTCATCTTTGGGCAACCTTAAAATCTAAAATAGCCTCTCAGCCAACCGTGTTCCTCTCAAATTGACCAGGGACCAGAACATGCGCCCCGCCTTGTAGTTTTGGTAGTGGCCCGACGTCAGGAAGCAGCGCACATCGTACATGTTGGGCGTCACCACTTCCTGAGCGCAAGTCCCAAGGGCGACACGTAACTACCTGCCCCTCTCCAAACACTAAACAAATGTGTGGCTTGATGTGGCTATGGGTCAAAACCCCCGGTGCCCCGATGAACACCCAGAAAGCCTTCTAAAAAGACAACAGTGGAGTGGCAACCATCCCCAAAACGACACCTTGGGTATTGACCCGCAACCATGCGGCAAAAGCCTACTGGAGTTACGCAAAACTGTACTCCTCTTCACTGCGAGACTCAGAGACTCAGTGGCACCCAGAACCACCGAGACAACGCATCCAAGCAAGACTTCTGGGCTTGCAATGTGGAACCTCCCACACGGCATCAGCTTCCCTTCGGAATCTGCTGAGCCCAATCTTCAAAAAAGGGGCACTCTGCCCAAACTGGTTGGAATGTGCCCTTCGGAAAAAGGGATCGAAATTGAATGGAGGCAGCCAACCCCCAAAGACCGGGCCCCCAAAAACGTCATCCTGGAACGGAAACAACTATACCCGTGAACCCGTTAAAGAACAAAGGAATTCACCAATTCCTAATGTCGGGTTGCGACGCCCCATTTTAAAGTTGGAATTCTGAGGGTCCAGGATGGGGGGCTTCTGTCTTTTCACCCTCTTTCGCTCACGCCGACTCCTCGGGACCTTGTTGGGCCTCGATTTTAGTGGGAATCTGGAAGGTGAAACCTTCAATCCTGGCGGGGTTTGCCATTCGTGCACCCATAAAACATAGGGCAGTTGCAGGGTAGGGGACAGTTCCAAACACAAACTGGTGCGGCCCTTTTAACCTGTTGTTTCTTCTCATCACATGCATTTGGGCACGCCATTTTCGGATTTTGATTGTGACATTATTTAAGAACAATTCCAAACACGTGACATCGAGTATCCTGATGATGACCCCTCGTTTTGCCCCCACCCCCCCCCCCCCCCGGACTCAGCGAGTTCGCCAGGGCACGGAAAAGCCCCGGAACCGGTACTCCGCGCGCATAAACTCCATCAGCTTGTTGTAGACCCTAGCGATCGCGTGTTTTCGGAGATTGAGGGAGCGACGAATTCAAGCGGTGGAAAAAGCACTGCTAGTCCGTTCGAGCCACCCCAGAACCTGTCCAAAAGAATGACCCATAAGCCCTTGGGAGCTTGGAAGGGGCCTTTGGGTGCGGGCTCCTCAAAGCAGAAGTCAGCCATTTGGAAGGGTCACGAAAAAGCAGGGACCAATTTCGCACCTGGCTTGTTGAAAAGTACCACAAGGAAACGTTGAACACAAGCACTGGAGAGGCTGCGCACAAATAGCTGATGTTAGACTTAGAGGGTGGCAACATTGTTGTTTTCAACATGGTGGTTTTCTCGACCCTGAAGAAATCACGACAAAAACCAAACAAGCAGTACCGACTCAATAATGCTGGCGTTTTCCGCAGGAATCTTTATCCGTTGGCAAACCACCAAGTGACCACATGCATTTACCGTAGCAACGTAGCAACCAAGCGTGAGCACATATGAGCCAGCGTCTATATTTGCTGTGTGGGGTGTATTCATTCTACTTTTAGTGAGTCCCCTATCGTTCTCCACGTTTCGCGTGTTCGTGCTGTGCCCGATGAACCCTCTGCAGGGATCGCGCGCCTCGAAGCGCTCCCACTGTGGCGCCGTGCGAATTTGTAAAGCGCCCGATGAACCCTCTGCGAGGATTGCGCGTGCCACAGCGCCCTCGCTGTGACGCCGTGCGAATTTTAAAACTGCCCGATGAACCCTCTGCAGGGATCCTGCGCGCCCAAGCGCTCTCGCTGTGGCGCCGTGCAAATTCGTAAAGTGCCCAATGAACCCTCTGCGAGGATTGCGCGTGTCAAAGCGCCCTCGCTGCGACGCCGTGCGAATTTGGAAAGTGCCCGGTGAACCCTCTGCAGTGATCCTGCGCGCCCAAGCGCTCTCGCTGTGGCGCCGTGCAAATTCGTAAAGTGCCCAATGAACCCTCTGCGAGGATTGCGCGTGTCAAAGCGCCCTCGCTGCGACTCCGTGCGAATTTGGAAAGTGCCCGGTGAACCCTCTTCGCGGTGACCACGCGTGCCCAACAAACTTTCTACGCAAACCCCTATAGCGCCGCGCGAACTCGAAAAGCACCCGACAAACTTTCTACGCAAACACAGCACTGGAACCACACGCGTAGTCTTTTGTAAGCAAATGCACTAGGCCTCACATTTGCAACTCGGGCCAATGCTCGGGGTATCGACGGGGTATCGACCGGGGTATCGTTCTGGGCGTGTGTCGCGTGACGAAAATTTTCACAATTTTCCATAAGCTGTTAGAGCCAAGCAAACACACAATAGCCTTCTCTGCCTTGCGGTAATCATATATCAGTCTTGGCGGCTTGCTTGCTGGCAGCAACCTCAAGGTCGCAAGTCGCAACTTTCACCACAAGCGCAGTGCACAAGTTACACTTCGGCAGCTCCAGCTCGAAGGTCGTAGCTTGCGGCGGTCACGTGTCAGTCTAAGCGGCTTTTGCTTGCTGGCAGCAACCTCCAGGTCGCAAGTCGCAGCTTTCAGTACAGGCACGGTACACAAGTTAGACTTCGGCAGCTCCAGCTCGAAGGTCCAGCACAAACCATGTTCAGGGGTATCGTTTTTTGTGAGTCCCCTATCGTTCTCCAAGGAAAATGCCAAAAACCAGTATTGAATGAAACGCCGTTGATAAAGTGGTCTTTGATAATTCTGAGGTTGACTCATTTGGGGATTGATCAAAAGGTCCTTTACATGGGACGACCATTGCGGAAAACCACAAAAATAAAACATGTTATGTCCCACGAAATGGAAAACACAAACAACATGGTCATGGTGTCGGGATGGCCGGGGGCCTGAAATGGACAAATGGGCCAACCCGAACATCTTTGGAACCGCTGCCCCACACGCCCCATCCCAAAAACCCAACAAGGGCTGAAAGGGGAACCTGGCAAACCACCCTTTCTCTCAGGTCCGAGTGGTTTGAGCAAAACTTTAAACTTGAGCAGTTAAGTGGGGATTTCCCACTAAACCACAAAAACAGAAAATGTTTCTTGTTTCCCAACAAACATGAAGAAAGGGGAAAATGAGTTTCACACTTCGGTGCCTGCTTAGGCTGGGTGGGCCCGTTTGTTGGACCGTTTTGCTTGCTTTTGAGGGGAAGAAAAACTGAGGCCAAAGAAACAACGCGACGCACTGGAGGTGCGGCGGTTCCCAAAAACCAATAGCACAGTTGCGTCGTCGTAAGCCTGAAATATGGGTTATGTTGCAACCCCAAATTGAATGGGTGACGGCCGGCTTGATGATGGGTAGTTTTCATGCTGCAGGCACTTGGACCCGCCAAATATCGTTCTGTGCGGAGTGTTCCCCAAGTGCGAACCACATAATTTCACATGTTGTGTGGGAACGAGCAAAGCATGTCCATCCATCGTTTCCTGGAATCCTTTGGCGGCTGCGATTTCCAGAAATCGCGGCACGTGGCTCATTTAAAGCGGAAGATGGGCCTTGCTACAAAGCTCTCCGGAAACCAGGCGGCACCTACCAAACTTCCTGGGACTTTGGCACTGTATACATACTGTGGCCGGTTGCGAAATCCATGTCGCACGTTCAGAAACCATGGAATGATGTGGTTTTCTCTATCAATACCAACAAACAATGGTTACAACCATGGTTTCAAAGTGGCGCGAAATGGATTGTGTAACTATTTACAGAAGGGGTTTCTAAATCCCATAGTCTGATCGGGGATTCAGACCCTTCAAACATCACCCCTACCAAGGACAAGTAACGCATCGGCCAACACAGTGACGTCCAAAGAAAGCCGGCCTTATACCTTAAATGGGTATGACTCTTTCTGAAGGTACCCTTTTTGGGGTGGGTTTTTGAAGGGATATCAAACAAACACCGGCCATTTTTGGGGGGCGAATTGGCCCAAACAAGCCGGGAATCCACGGCCCTCCTGTCTCACTTGGTGGTCTAAACCTGCTCTAAATGGCAGTGGCTCAAAATCAAAGAGCTAGGGTTACGCAGGTTTAGGTCCACTTTTCCACTTACCAGGGTTCCATTTTGGAATTCCGGTTTTTTGAGCCATACCCAAATCTGCCTGGCGCCCAGGGGGAACCAGAAGCAGCAGCCCGGCGACATGATGGGATGGAACCTGGCTGGCCCGACTTTTTGGGGGGAGGGCTCCGGGAGCCAACTCCATCTCTCTTCCCCCCAAAGAGTTGGAACTTGCCCGCAATACCCCATGTCGGCGGGAAAGTTGAGGGCTTAGGTAGTCTTAAAGAGAAAAAACGAACCATGATAGTGTATGAGGATGCCATTCTTAGGGGCACTCATGAGTATTTGGGCTGAATTTGGGCAACATAGTGTTTTGCCTTTGATGTCCACTCATTTTTGCTGACGTGTCGACTCTCAGGTGCAAATGGATAAGATATTTCTCTAGCCATCAAGCTGGAATTGTACCAACCAACAAGGCCAGCTAGCCATGCCAAGCAACCACTTTAGCCAACCAAAAGGGCAGCCAAAACTGGGCTGTCCTCAGAATGTGGTTGAATGTCCGGCATGTGTTTGAATGTGTTTGACCTGTTCGGCATCTTCTTTGTTGAATGTGCATTTTTCTCGGCATGTTGCTTGATGTGATTGTGCTTTCGGCATTGTTAATCGTGTGATTGAATGCGTTTGGCGTATTGTTTGGAATGTACTTGATTTATGTTCATGGTTTTGCTATATTGTTGTGTTGTGTTTTGGAATGGATCTCAGTGTTTTTGCATTCTGAATGGTGCTGGCACTGAAAGGAGCCATACCCGGAAATGGACTGAGGCTTGCCTGTGCCCGGGGATAAATAGTGACGTGTATACCAATTGGCGTGTGTGTGTGGGTAGCAATTGGGGGCGTTAAACAAAAAGCTTGAAGGTCTTAGGGGTTGACTCCCCATTCTTTTCAACCATCTTTCTTTTCAAAGCCAGCTGTTTCCCTGAGTTTTTGGTGGCTTTCCGGAAAGAAGGATCCCTTGGAACAATGCGGATACCTGGGTTTATTCCTTTTATCTTCCCTTACCAACCCAAAAAACAACACCCGCGGAAAGCACACAACACGCAACAGAAATGGACCAGATACCACAAGTAACAAAGGAAACCAACATGGCCATCATGGCCATTTCTAAACTGTGCCCCGCTGTGCCCATGGGTTCATAGAGAAATAAATAAACTGGCAAATTTGTTTACGTATTTCCTGGCTTGCCTGGGATAGGGCAGGGGCCCAACCCCCTTGCAAAAAAACGACTCCTCCACATGGTTTCGGCCGCATGTTCTTGCCATCCTTATATAACTCACCTCCTGAGTGCATTGGCCAAAGAAAGTCCAAAAAAATGATTTGCCCCGAAAATGGTCTCCAACAAAATTAAAGTTCATGGTTTCGGGTTTCCTCTCTCCAACATGGCCGAGGCCATGAAAATCCTCAACCCTCGGTCCAGTGTCTATACTTGACAAACGAGGTCCCAGGGATTTTGAGAGAAACATAAGAAACTGCCAACCTGAACCCACTTGCCCGAAGGGCCTGGAAACAAAAGGTTGACCTGTACTGTGAGCTCAAAGCAGGAAAACCAAAAGGCCAGATCAAGTCGATTCGCTGTGGGCAACTGAGTACAAAAGGGTTCCCTAAAGGAACCTTGGGTCAAAACCGATCCCCCGCCCCCCCCCCAAAAAAAAAAAACATAAAAAAAAAACAAAAACATACAAACGCTTCAGGTCGCCAGATTCATTGACTCCGATGGGCACCACCTAAGAAACCACGGTTGAAACTATTGTTTGTTGGTATGTACAAAGGAATCAACTCATTCCAGGGTTTCTGAACGTGCGAAATGGATTGCGTCCATCAGTACCATCTTTCAACTTTAGCCATGTTCCAACTTTGGATTCTGCCTCCTTTGGTGTCTCTGGATTCGCTGTTGCACCATATTATTTTTCCCTGGCCTGGCAATGCCTTAGTGTCTGGCGAGAGCTCTCGGGGCTTTCTCTGTGGGTAAACTCAAATGCCAGTTCCCAGGGGCCCGGCATAAAGAGCTCTTGCTGCTTGCCAATGTTCCTGGCGCTCAGGCGGTCAGGTTGGACTACCCAGACCCTCAAACTGCCCATAAAAGAAGGGAGAATTCAGCAACCGTAATTTGGAGTTGCGATATCCGATTTTTTAGTTGGAATTGAAAGGGTCCAGGCATGAATTGAACTGAGTGCTCCGTTGATGCCTCGCGCTAAGCTAAGCTTCAAGCGATCAAGAGGAAGCCCACCGAGTGGAGAAGACATGACACGGGCACCCGACAAACCACGCCGCCGAAGGTTTTTCAAAGGGTGAGGGGATGAAAGCGCTTTGTGAAGGCCAAATGAGGCTAAATATCAACAGGCACGCATTGGCTGCGTTGCCGTTGCGCAGTGGCTGTAAAGATAATAAAGCCAACTTTGTCCAAGCAACTCCTTTAGTTTTCTCTTTCAGTGGCATCAGGGTCTGTCAAACCATTTTGGGCCCACTCTGGCACCCCTCTTCTGTTCGTGGCAAACCGTCTGTCAAGGCAACCTAAAGGTCGGTCCTGGCTCGATCTTGGCACGTGAAATCAAAACTCTAGATACGGCATTTTGACAACCAACCATATTAACGCTAGAAACCGACAGCGTCCAGACCAGAACCGATACCCATCAAACCTGCCAAACTCATAGGTTGTTGACCAGCCAAAAACGCTACCCCAGGAACATAGTCCCTTGCTCTTTTGAATTTTTCAACCTTCAAATATCCCGAAACAATTGGCCATTGACCCCAAGATTCTGCGAGGAATTCCTTTTTCTATGGGTCCAGGCACCAATGTGTGATTCTGTGCCGCATGGACAAAAACAACAAACGACTTACTTAAAGACTCAGCAACAGTATTCAGTCGAAGGCCCCGTGATCATTTTGCTTCCAGACGACCCCAAAGCCAAAGCAACAGTCACCTTTAGTAAACCCAGAAAAGGAGGCGTATCATTTTTCCAGGGGTGAGATTCTGCAATTGGAGGTGTGGAGCTTAGAAAACTGATGTAAATGTGCTAAGATGTATAGACTGCCCTCATCCCCTTATGTTTCCTGGCTGATTTGGCCCTGTTTGGACTTGCTTCGCCGCATTTGGTACTACTATTAAGGTCAACAGGTTTATCAAGACCTTTGTGGGGGGGGTCCCTGACTCAACCCGACGCAAGTTCTCCAGTCATCCGACCAACCGAACTAATGGATCCCAGCAACCAACCGATGCCACGCCTGTGGTCGCGCTTGGCAGCCTCCTCTTGGAACTTTTTGTACTCCTGGCATCCCACGTCTCAGGATTTCCAAGGATGGCCTGAATGATCGTGAAATGTTCGTCGAAAGGGTTTATATACTGAGAGAGTTGACTAGCTTGCTGAGCACTTGGCTGACTTTCGGATCCTTCCCCAAACCTAAGCACCTCATCCAAAAGTGGAGTCGCACTTGCTGAAAGGATTTCTCATCTGGTCTAGCACTAAATTATCCAGACACAAACAGATTGAAACCCAGAAACTGGGGAAGTGAGGAGTACCTTACAGGAGAAAGACCCTGAGTGAGTGGTTCTCTGAGGCCTCGTTGCAAGTTCCTCGCATCCCGAGCTGGGAGCCGCAATTTGGGTGGTCTTTGACAAATCCTTGGACCATGAACCGTCGGGTAAACCTGGAGTCTCCTTCTGACCCTTAAAGGTCATGGACCTATTTTTTGGGGATCATGGAGACGCCAGGAATGTCTTTTTCTGCTGTCAATAAGTCCCCTTCTCTCTTGTAAATCCGGAATGGGGACAGTTGCTGGGGACAAACTGCTGGGATCCATACTCTTAGGGTGGAGGATGCTCGTGCCCCTAGACGTACTTCATGGTCTGTGTGCCTCACCGTGAGGAACGTAGTCTCCCGGTTTCTCGGCGCCCAAGAGATTGTCTCGAGCCTTCTCTGTCTCTGCGCTTTTGCTCGGGCGCCCCCCGTTGAACTTAGCTTGGTTGCTGTTGCCACCCCTGCAAAAAGTTTAACTTTTGGGGGGGGTTAGTGGAAAACACCTTTAATTTCCAAAAAGTTAAAGTCTAAAGATCCAACCCAATAGCAATCAAAATAGGGAACTCAGCTCTTGGAGAACCCGAGAACTGGGAACAAGTACTTTGTGCTATTGCACGATTCTTCAACTTGTTGAACTTAGGGAACGAACTCTTGATGAGCAGAGAGAGGACAATCGCTGAAGTAGTGGGAGTGGCCGTCGCTTTACTGACTCAAAACAAGTGTCCTCACATCCCGAGCTATGGCGGCTGTCTCATTGCCGCCTGATGGGCAGCTTCGAAGAGTCGAGTTGTCCACTCGAGCGGATTTCCCTCTGTCTGACTTAAGGGTGCTGTCTAGATAAGCTTCTCTTTTCTTCAACTACTTGACAAAAGGGTTTCAAACTTCCTCAAGTCCCCATCAAGTAAGGGTGAGTTTCTCCTTTCTCAAACTAACTGACAAAGGGGTTCCAACTTTCTCAAGTCCCAACATCCAATAATCAGATTCGGAAAAGGATCGCAGTGGGTCCCAGTCTGCATTCCTTGACCCAACTCTCTACACCAAACAAATGTTCAGATTCATATTTTGGGAACCTTAGCACATAACATCACTTTGGAGGAGACACCAGATTCAACAAACTAGTTAATTAATCGGAATGTGAAATCACCCACTCCGGGGCTCAAGTCCGTCAAATGGAACCCCTACACCCACTGACGCCTGATCGAGGCGCCTCGCCCCACCAACTCGCACCCCCCCTTCCCGCAAAAACCGACACCTCAATCGGGGCGAAAAAACAACAACAACGGACACCAACCAAAATCCCAGGGCGCCCACCCCGGTGTTCAAGTCCGTCAAATGGAACCCCAAAACCAGGGCGCCCGAAACCGCCGAGCGCGGCGGTTTCCGGAGCCTCCCAACCCGAGCGGCGGAACCATGGCATGCGGCGGAACCACGGCGCCGGCCTTGAGCAGCTTGTCGTTGGGGAAGGCCACCCCATAGAGCCGCTGCAACGAGTCCAGGCTTTGGTCCCCCAGCCTCCGCTCGCTTCGGTCGGACGGATCGAGTGGAACCCGACAAAGCTGGCCGCGGCTGAGGTATGTGGGTTCTAACCAAGGCAACTGGAGGGCCCCTGAAGTAGGTTATCACCAAGGGAACTGGGGGCCCCTGAAGAAATTCGGCTCTACCCAAGGTAACTGGGGGCCCCTGAAGTAGTAGCCAAGGCAGCTGGGGCTTGTCGCGCTGTGCAAAGCTCACTTCTGGGCGCACCAGTAAGCCGAGGAGTTCTTCGTGACCATGAAGGCCTGGCGTGCCAGGCGCTTGCGCCAAGCGCTTGCGCCAGTGGTCCCAAGGAAATGTTCTGTTTGGTTTTACTTGGATGACCATACCTAGAGTCTCCTTCTGACCCTTAAGACATGGGTCCATGACCCCTTAACTCAGGGGAAAGACTCCAGATATTTACTAGGTGGTTGCTCGTGTTTCTTACTCGGATGACTCTATCAACTTTCACGATTCATGGTTGGCAAAGGGTCCTTTTTCATCGTTTCTGCGTACGGCCAGGACAATAACATGGTGAACAAGCAGTGGAAAGAACGACGGGTGTTGCCGCTTCAATGACCTGCCCAATGGCTAAGTGGTCCCCTAAGGGGGTTATAACTAGGGGAACCCGCTTAGGGGACCTATCAATTGGGGATATCACCCACTTGTAACCAATTACTAAGTTGGGTGTCCATGCAAGTAGTGGGGAAACAAGTCACTGCTATTTTTCCTTTGGGGGTTGCCTTGAAGGAGAGACAAACAAACACCACCCATTTTGAGGGGTGAGGGGATGAAGGGGGAAACGTTTTGGTGGGAAAGCAAAAAGGGTTTCCAACCTGTCTGGCAAAACAGCTGAAATCCACTGCTGGGTGGAGGCTCTGGAACAACAAATAAGCGGTCTGCCAATCCAGGATCCATCCTCATTTGGCTTCATCAAATCTACGAGCTATTTAGCGCCCATGGTTGCGTCTCAGCTTTCTTTTAAGCAGCGGTCTCTCTGTCAACATACACCTCACTACTTCTAAGTTGAAACTAGGTGGTTACAAAGGTTCCTGTAGGGCCTCACTATACCCCCTACTAAACTTGGCAGTCAACAACGCCTGTCGAATTTGGTTTGACCGGGTTTCGGTCGCTCCTCAATTGAGGCTTATTCAACGTTCAGCAAAAATGATGCCCAGAAACACCAGGAAAGATGATGGCACAAAGTTCCTGAATTGACATATTGCGCATGTCTTGCAAATGCCTCAGCAAATGAAGTGTTCCTGAAAAGCACAACTGGACACACGTGAGTGTGTCCTGTTTCTTGGAACCCCCCTCCCCCCCACATGAGTGGTGTTCCTTTTGGTCTCCCTTTACCTACTCAAAAGGGGTACAGCGCCAGGTGGAACGCCGGCGGTCCAAAAAACCCCATGGCCAGCCCAAAAGCTGCGCGGAATTCGTGTGGGAGGCATTTCAGTCACAGCATCGACGGCCGAGCGGGCCAATGTTCCACACGGACCATGGTTGGATTGTCTTTTTGTTTGGGGTGAGAGATGGATCCAACCAAAAATAGGCATCAACACAAAACTTATTCAAGAAGATCAAAAAACACTTCTTGGGGGTCAAGCAAAAACTCCCGATTGGTTTCTTGGGGCCCTCAACACTGGTTGTTTCCAAGGGCCCCTGAGGAATTAGTCAGGGTTCTTCATTGGAGGGCCCCTTACGGTCATTGGAGGGGTCATGACCCTTAGGGTGATCTGATACACAATCCGGTCCTGGGCTTTCAAATCAGGGTCGTGGTTGATCACTCGGGGTTTCTCCCACCACTTCTGTGATACAAGTTGGAATCCCCCTTTATATGGAAGAAAATCTCGTCCTTGGGGTTAGGCCGGCCCTTTCTGTAACGTATCACAGAAGTGGATTCCATTCCCCACAGCCCTGTTTCCAGGGCTCTCCGTTGTCTGAGCTAAGAGTTGAACACTTCTGAGGCAAATGGAAACCCAAGCAGTAAACCAGCCAACAACCTTTAAAGAAGAAAGCCGGAGGACCAAAACCAAGCACCAAAAGCCAACCAAGCCAAAACCAACCAGAAAACCCACCAACACCAAGCACCAAAAACCTTTAAAAAAGAACCAAGGAACCGGATGGCCCCCCAGAGCCACCAAGTCTCGGGTTGACTCTAAGCCCCGCTGCACATGTTGGCTTAAGGCAACGCCAGACTAAGTCGAGAGGTTAGGGTAAGGGTACCCGATCTTTTTTCGGTTTTGTCTGTTTTAGTAGGGGAACCCTCCCAACCAAAAAAGGGGTGAGAAAGTGCACTACTGGGGGACCTAGGCAATGTGGACGACCAAAGCAACGACCTGGACCACAAGCAAACGGTGATCTTCGAACAAAGGGAACAACATAAGGCCCCTGAAGGTGTTTTGAAGGCCCCGTTGGGCGGAGTTGCCGTTTGGGGCACACAAACCCCTAAGCATGGTTCATAATTTACACACGTTGGGTGTTAAAACAATTCATTGCTCAACAAAGGAATAAAACAGACTAATATGTGCACAAACACACAGACTGACAGGCACAGGCACGGACACAGACACGAAACCAACAGTTCGCGGGGACCACAATTGTGCGAAACCTCCGTATTGTAAATTTGAATTAGGGCACCCCCCAAAGAAGTGTTGTTCTTCTGCTGATTTCCCTTAGACAGACACATGAATCAACAAGTCTACTTCAAGCTGTGGGCCAAAAAACAAGGCCGCCGGGCTCCGGCCTTGGCGCGGTTCGTGTTGGGCAGATGCGGCCCGCGGCAGAGGTCCACCAAATCCCCACAGCGGTAGCCTGAAAGAAGAAACGCTAGCCCACTCCACCGCAAATTAAGCGAAGGAACTGCGAGGTTTGGGGGGTTTTGGTGGGTTTGGGTTGGGCGGGTTGCGGGTTGGGCGGGTTGCGGGTTTGGGCATGGTGGGGGGGTTTGGGTTTGGGGGGGCTATAAACTCCCTTGCAGGGTTGTTCCCTAAGGGGTTGGGGTGATTGAGCAAATGGAACCTTTAAACTCAGCTTCTCAAATCCAGCAGCTTCTTGGAGAATCCCCTAGGAACACCCCTGCCTTTTTCCCAAAAAACGGGAGTCGGTGGTCTTGGTGACCATCGGTACTCCATGAGCCAGTCGACAATCTTTCCGAGGCTTCAAAGTCACTGCCCCCGGACGCTCAGCCAAGACCAGGGCACCGCACCGGCGAGCACTGGGACAAGACCCCCCACGAGCATCACGCCCTCTGCTCAAAGAACTCCTCCTCTACGGTTTTTGCCAAGCCCAAGTTGACGTGTGTTTCACACAAGAAACTCGTACCAGAAGCGATGTCTTCCGACGACGCCAACAGTTCGTCTCACGCTCTCCCTATCGCTCTCTAGATACATATATGAATATATAAATATATGTGATAGAGCCTAAGAAAATGTCCTATTATAGACACTGGTAGACCCTGCGAGCTGGCCCACAAGGCTTACTTGCAGCCTGATCAAAACCGTCTCGGTTGCTTTATGCTCCCCTGCTAAAAGTTTAACTTTTAGTGGTTGAATGGAAAATCCCCATTAGTTGGCAAAAAGTTAAAGTCCTAACATCCAAGCAAAATGCATCAAAGTAGTCTTTGACCGACGCTGGTTGTCCTTTGACTGGGATTCGCCGGTCTCTTTTCCTGTCCCGCTGGACCAATCTAGGAATGGTGCGACCCCTCCGGACTCAAATGGCTCCTGTTCGATGGCCACATTTGGACCATAGACTACTGTTGACCCAAACTTTCTACTTGAGAAACTTGGCGCTTAACATCGGAAGGCCAACTATATATAATATGTGTATATATAATAATATATATATATATATATATGTACACTGTATGTATATAACTATATATATAATAATATACATATACCTCTGTATATAATATGTATAATATACAGAATACATGTATATATATATATACACACACATACACCTCTATATATATATATATATAATGTGTTGGCTTCCTGTTGGTTTCCCACCAAAAAGCGGGGATGGAGTCCTGTCAGCCAGTGCCTTTCTTTCATTCATTTTCTCCCGGATCTTCCCACACACGCCATACAAACGAGTTGCCTACGTTTACCCTCCAAACGGGTCAAATACTGGTATGTAATTTTAATTTAATATGCTTATTACCTACGTGGCAATTGGATTGCGTGGCACTTGGACACCCAAAAGGTCAAACAATGACTCTTTTCAGCTTCCTCATGTTTTCCCTGCCCCATCTAAGCTGTTCGGGACCAAAGTCTTGCTACAAGAGATACTCAGATGGCTCAGATTTCATCTACAAGAGCCCGAATGTAAGTACCTGCAGTCTCCATGAGCCGTTAACAGATGAGGGCAAGACATGACCGCTTTCTTATGGGTAGCGACCCCATTTCACGTTCACAGCGTCATAGAGACTCCATGTAGAATGGGTTTGTCTGTCGCTCTTTATTTTACCCACAACAAAACAGATCCCCAGTGGCCATACCAAAAAACAGGGCCCTCAATTTGTTCTGTGGAAGAAATCCCCTGCAACTTCAGGAGAACAGGCCAGGGGTTTCTCCCAAAAACCGAATACTTGGTTTCGCCCTCCGGGTGGATGGTTTCCTTCTGAAGACCACTCACCATGCGAAACGGCTACCCCCAGTTTGAAGGAATGAAGTCAGTCTAAAGCCTCAAAATGCCAACTTCAACATGGGTGATTGCAAAAAACAACAAATCCCGGAGTTGGTGAGTTCCCTGTTCCCCTTTCCCTTTTCTATGGGTATGAGGTACCCGATCAAAAAAAAAAACGCTGGCCCCCCTTTGAAATGGCGGCGACGGATGTGAGGCTCCGGCAGCTCGTAGACGCGCCGTCCGGCACCTGCCGAAAAAAAAGGCCGAGGGAGCCTCTGGGGCAAAGGGTTCGCTAAACCACGTGCTTGGCCCTCGCAAAGCCTAGGGTTCCTTGCCCCCCATAATGGCAAGGACCCAGTTGAGATAGCAACTCTTTGGTAAAAGCTGATTGTATGAACCCAATAAGTGTTTTCATGCAGGTTTTAATTTCGCAAATTAGCTCCCCTTTTGGGGCCACTAAGCATGGGACGGCTTTGGGCAACTGAGACGATCCTTGAAGGGGAACCCTTTCAAAACGGATATTCGCTTCGGAGCTCAGCGAGGAGGAACGTACTAATCGGGGGTTCCCCTTTCAGTGAGGGCATGATCTATTTTGGGGGGGCTTTGAGTACGCTCCAATCCAAAG